ATACCACAACCCCAGCCAATATCTGGATTACAGCCTGGTGAAACCCTGATGTAGAGAACCTTGATAAAACATGTCCAAGCTTTTAACTCATAGAAACTATAAGATAAATGTGTATTGTTTTAAGCTTTTAAATGTGTGATAATATATTAGGCAGCAATAGAAAACACATACAGCAAAGGTCTCTACCATCTCCATCTGTGGCATGGATTTTTTTCCTCATTCACCCAACAGGAGTCCCTTTTCAGGGAGTGAATCCAAATTGCCACCTTTGTGCAGACTTTAGACTTGGTTTCCTAACCTTGCACACATGGCCTTTAAACCCAACCTTTGGGTCACCAAAAATTGGTAGCTATACCCAGGACAAATACCCACTTCAGGCCTCAATCAGCTTTCTTATTTCTTTGAGGATTTCCCACATCGACTTTAGCCATGTGCTTTTAAGTTACGGTCTTTAAAATATTTTATCCAACAAGTGTGGATGACAAGATTTCTTTACATACCTCATCTGCTATATGCCTGGGAATTTCCATTACTCATCAGCCCATTGAAGGTGAATTTCCTACTACTAGGATAACCCAAGCTACTGAAGCAAGAGGTTATGATCTCTTAATTGCCAAATCCAGTCAACTCTTTCTAGTCCTCACGTTACTGGGCCTCTCTCTCAGCAGCATTTGGCACTGTTGGCCACAGCTTTCCCTTCCTTCCTTCCCTCCTCTAGTTTCTAATCACATATGCTTATGCTATTTCTGCTGTCACTGCTTCTTCTCAATTTCCTTAGCTGACTCCACTTTTTCTGCCTCCCTCTCTTAAATCTTGGTGCTTCTCAGAGTTCTATCCTAAGGATTTTATTTTCATTCTGTAATACACACTGTAGGTGGATTACCTTATCCATTCCTGTGGCTTCTACTGTGATGTATATGCTGGTGACTGCCTAATCTATATTTCAAATTGTATTTGGAAAGATAGGTTAGAAAGTGAGATGAGATAATAGCAATGTCACCGCCTATGATCCCAGCTGTTAGGGAGGCTGAAGTGAGAGGATAGCTTGAGCCCAGGAGTTCAAGAGCAGCTTGGGCAACATATAAGACCTGTCTTTTTAAAAAATAGGAAAAGAAAAGATCTACCCAAAATCTCAGTGGCTTAATTGGGAAAATTTACTTTTTGCTCATATAGAGTCTACTGCAGGTCCAAATGACTCCCCGGAGAAACTGTCCTCCATATGCTGATTCAATGATCAAGGATTAGAACTCTTACCTTCACCTTCCCATCACAAAATCTCCATAACCGCCCTGTTGTGGGAGGGGGTCAGAGGAGGTCTTGTGTCAGCATTTCCATGCTTTCACTAAATGGGACGTGTATCACTGCATTCGCTGCCCATTGGCCAGAACTTGTCACATGACATTACCCAACCACAGGGAAGGTCCACAGAAGGAGAGAAGTGGTTATTGGTGAGAGCTAGAACTGTCTACCACACAAATCTAGATCTCTTGTGAACCCCAGATCTGTGCATCCAACTGCTCTCTCAACATCTTTACCTGAATGCTCCACAGGCACCCCCAAACCCAATGTGTCCAAAATTAAACTCATTATTTTTTGCCAATCCTATAACCCATTCTTTCATATTCTCAATGTTAGTTGATGGATACAATACAGGAAACGTAGTAATCGCCACCTCCCCTCTCTCTCTTACTTTCCTCTCACACCTAATAAATGACTAGAGTCATCACCTGTCTGCTTTATCTCTTCTCCATGGCCATTGCCTCTTTTTAGATCATCCTAGTTTCTCACTTGGAACTCTGCAGCACCAAAGAATTCTTCACCCACTGTCTGGTACCTCACCAGTCCCCCCTAGCTCTGTTGTCAAAACCCAAATGTGCTTGTGTTAGTCCTCTTCAGCAGTCTTTCCATTGCCTTTAAGGGTAAAGTATGTTTAGGGCCCACCATTACCTGGTCTTTTCCTTCCTCTCCAGCCTTTCCTCTTCCATTCCCACCCTTATCCTATCCTCGTTCTCCATAGCATCACCTATGGTGAAATACTTGCATTTCCCTAAACTCAACCAATGTGCGAAAGCATGCCTGTGTTCACCCTGTCCCTCTACCTGGAATCCACTTCCACCCTCGGTTTGCCTAGAAAATTATTTATATTTCGAGGTGCAACTCAAACACTGTCCCTTCTACGAGGCTTTTCTTGACACCTATCCTCCCTCCTTATCGTGCAGCCTGACCCCTTTGTTCATTGTGTCTCACTCTATCCTATACAGATGTCTCACATCTACAACATTTCATTATGCTTATTTATGTAACTGGCCAATCTGGAACATACTTTTGTACGTGAACGAAGATATATGTCTCTCTACAAGAGACAGATCCTGCAAGTCAAGAACTATGTCTTACTCATGATTGAATCTCCAGAGTTTGACAGGGTGTCTGGGTAGGTGCTCAGTAAATGTCTGATTAATTAGTTAATCCTCCCTCTAAGACTTGAACTACAGCTGTTTCCTTCTCTGGCTCCTCTTCCACCTTCTTGCCCTTTGGTGGTACCTTTGATCATAGTCTGATTTTTTTATCCCCCATTGCTTTTGCTGCCACTTTTCTATATATCTCTTAAATCCATATATATCTCTTCATCTCTCTACTGCTACCATCCTGGTCCACATCACTATTACCCTCCTCGACTAGATCACTGCAGTAATCTCTCAAGTGGTCTATTCATATCTATTCTGGCTAACTTCCAGTCTGTTTGCTCCAGTTTTAGTGATTGCTCCAGGATGCAAACCTGATCTTGTTACCCTTGTTTAAATATCTTTAGTACAGATAAACCCACTTCTCTTAAAGTCAAAAGTTCTGGGGGACTGGCCCCTTCCTGCCTATTCAACCTCATCCTCATCATGCTCCACCCTCTGTCCCCACCCCAGTGCCACCTCACATACTTCCTCTTTCAGCTTTTGTAACACGAGTGTTTCCCGCCTCTTCCTACCCTCCTGGCACAGGGCTTTTAAATGTTCTATTTCCTCTGAACTTTCCCTTCCTTTTGATCTAGTGGAACTCCAACTCACATTCAGATTTCTGTTGGGTTGTTTTGTTTTGTGTTTGGGCTCTAAGAAGGCTTCCCTGGTCTTCTTCTCCTCTACTGTAGGCATTGATGGCATGGGGCCCTGATCCTTCACAGCACACATAACAGTCACAATTTACCATTTCTTTGTGTGGGAAGGGCCTCCTTTACTAGTCTGAAAGTTCCATGAAGGCAGGCCCTCATGCTCATCATAATACCCTCAAAGCTTAGAATAGCAATGTTCAGTAAATGTTTTTGGAGTAAGTGAATGAAGAAATGAATTATCTCAGCAACTGAGATCCAAAAACTTGAAGTAATCATTGACTCATCCTACTATTTTATGCCCCATATCCAGGTCCCAAGTTATATGTCCTCCAATGTTATGATTCCCGTGGTTTCCTTCCCACTCCTGCAGCCCACACCCTTACTACACAATACCCAGAATATCACCATGCCCTCTAGCTTGTCTCTACCTTATATGATATTGTATAATCTGTCAAAAAGGCTATGTTTATCATGTTATATCTCAATCAAACAGATATAGTGTTTTTGTAAAATGTTTTAACTGTATCTTGCTTGGATTTAAAGCTCCTCGCCATCTGGCTATAATCCATCTATGTAAACTATTTTCTCTCTCTCACCCTCTCCAAACGCACCACTCTGTTTATTTTATTTGGTTATTTAAGCACTCTGTCACTCAGGCTGAAGTGCAATGGCATGATTGTGACTCACTGCAGCCTCACACTCCTGGGCTCAAGGGATCCTCCTGCCTCAGCCTCCCAAAGTGCTGAATTACAGGAGTCAACCACCACACCCACTCAAAATGTCCCACTTTTGAACTGTGCTGATATCCCAGAAATACATCACTTGAATTTCAGCAACCAACCTGGGCCTGGGCACCCCTCCCACAGCCCTTTCTCCCTCCATCCACCCGAAGCCTATCCGTGCTCAAGGTTTACCTGCATGTATCCTTGCCTGATTTCTCCAGCTCCACCAGCTGTGAGTTACTCTTCTCTCCACCTGAAAACCTCTTCCCCAGACTCTATGCCTGGCCAGCTCCTTCTCATACTTGAGTCCTCTAAGTGGAAATGCCCACTCCTTAGAGAAGGCTTCCCCAGTCCTCCATCTTCTCTAAAGACATTCTCCCAGTGTATTCTCTCTAGCTAGCACTCTGTTTCTTTCCTTCATGGTCCTTAATGCAATGTGTCATTGACTTATCATTTACTTGTTTTTCATTTCTCTTCTCAATTAAGTGGTAGAGTCCACGAGGCAAGGAACTTTTCTACCTTGCTCTCCAAAAAGCCTTTAATACCTGGTCAGGTGTAATCCCAGCACTTTGGGAGGCCAAGGCAGGTAGAACATTTGAGATCAGGAGTTTGAGACCAGCCTGACCAACATGGTGAAACTCGCCTCTACTAAAAATACAAAATTAGCCAGGAGTGGTAGCTCATGCCTGTAATCCCAGCTACTTGGGAGGCTGAGGCAGGAGAATCACTTGAGCCCGGGAGGCGGAGACTGCAGTGAGCCGAGATGGTATCATTGCCCTTCAGCCTGGGTGACAAGTGTGAAACTCCTTCTCAAAAAAAAAAAAAAAAAAATCCTATAACCAGCCCACCGTATGGCCTATAGCATTTACTTAATAAGTATATTATTCATATTATTTTACAAATAAATATTTATAAGAAATGATTCACCTTCCCTTTGAAGGGATCTAAACTCTCTGAACACATTTGAAGTCCGCACAGCTAGTACTTAACTCCTAACACTGTTTGCTCTTCATTTTTCACTATCAGCCTCATCTCCCTGGTTGGAATAGATGAGACTATAAGGCTTTTGATGACAATGATAATGTCATAATGATGCGCCTTCCATAGAAAATCTGGCACAGTGGTTAAAGTAAATAATAAATATTTAATTCGCAAGAAACCTGTCTTGTCTCCTTATGTTCTGGCATTCATGTGTCAGACACAAAGGAACACAAAAGAAAGATGAAAAGATCATAACGTTGACATCAAAGAGGAAGTCTACCCTTGAGTTTAGATCTTTGTGACACACAATGTGACGCTGGCAGTGGCAGAGGCAGTAATCTTTATTTCGTCATTTCTGAAACATAGGAAGCAAACATAGTCACGGAAGCAAACCAAGAGCTCAGTCTTAAATGATTGCATCTTATGACCGGACGTTTTCTTGAAAGGTAAATGCATTTACCACATGCTTTTAATCTAGATTAAATAATCGCTCGCCAAAAGTAAGTGTCATCTAGTTGTTAGTGGTTTCTATCACCTGTTTTATTTGGTGTGGGGAGGGCTGTGTTCGAATGGGTCTATTTAGTTGATGTGTTTTACGGCAACCAGTAAGATTCTCCAGTGTTGGATGAAACGTGAAAAAGTAAATATAGCATCATTTCTATTTTAATGTATGCTTCTGCCAAACGTTTGGGGTGTGCTGAAAGGGAAATGTGTTGCCTGCTTTTTTTGGCCTGGATTTGTGAGTAGCTATTTCCCTGTGGTATTGTGTGATGATTTTGTCCATTTATGTGAAAGTTAGGGTGGGGTGGCCTAATGCTTTTACAGAGGCTACGGTAACATTTTTGTAAATGCAGAACTGCTGATGTGAAGGGCAGCATTTTACAGAAACCTATGACCCAATCTTCCTCCCCTCCCCAGTGACAAAGCCTAGTGTAAGCTCATATTCTATTTCACACCAACATATATTTCAATATTTTATGGCGGTCTGCAAAGAGCACCATTGACTTACAAACCAGAAAAGGAACAAAGAAAGGTGAGAAAAATTACCACTACCGATTCTGCTGCGGACTATGGCCTTCCTGTTATCATGGCTCAGACTCCTTGTCACATTTCCCTGTTGGCCCCTTTCTTATTATCTGACATTGTGCCTGATCTAAAAATGTTTGGTGAATTGTAAGGTACTTGGCAGTGTTGCTGTTGTAACAGGTGCATGGAGATGAGGTATCCTCCCTACCCTCCCACAGCTCCAAGGACTTGGAAGTTAACTTTTGAGAGCTGAACAATACAACAATAAATAATTGATGGCATTTGTTTAAATAAATGACCTTAAAATATAGAATAAATAACAAAGCCAAAACATTTTCCCATGAGTTTGCCTAAATAGGAAGTAAAATTGTGGCCTCCTAAAAAAAAAGAAAATCAGGGATGCATACAATGTTTTACGCACAAAAATATCTGTTTCATTGTTATTGATTTAAATATAAATGGAAACAGTTCTATCAATAAGTGGGGAATCCGTTAAGCAAACAGGTATAATGGAAGGACCTATTGCCACTAAAAATGTTATAAAAAGTGTTTAGTGACATAGAAGAATGCATATGATAAATGCTGATTTAAAAAGGAAGATATAACTTCTTACATAAAGAAATATCTCAACTAGCTTTTTAAAAAATGCATGGAAGTATGACTAAAAGGAAAGACAGTAGAAATATTAATGAGTAGTAGGGAGTTTGGGTGATTTCACTTTTCTGTCTTCAGATACTCTGTACGTTTTGATAGAAAGCCTAAACAAGAATATCGGCAGACTTGAGAAGACAATCCATGAACAGATTAGAAGTGTCTAATGAGGCCTAGAGTAAGGGTCTCCAAGAGCGGGTTTGTCAAAGTCTAGGCAGCAATGCCAGGGAAGCGTAAGGCTGATACATCAGACCTAGTTGACTGTCAATATAAAACTCATCCATTCATTTTCTCTCATACTTACTCCAGTGCTTACCAAGCAAAATTATGATTTTTAATTGGCATTCTTACATGTTCTGATAGGCAAAATTCACTGGTTGCACCAACACATAGCTTACGTTAATTCAATTCAGCTTATACGTCAGTCTCCTGTGAGTTGGTTCGTGGGAATCAGCTCTGGAGAAATCAGTCAATTCTTGGTGCCCTGATAAGATCAAATTTCTAGATCTGCAAATGGGAAGGCTGGCTGCTGAGCTGCAGAAACACCAGAGTTTTTGACCAGTGATGAGTGGTCTGTGACCACCAATAGCACCAGAACACCTACAAATTGCCTCTCATTGTTACTACTCTTTTTTTTTTTTTTTTTTTTTTTTTTGAGACAGATTCTTGCTCTGTCACCAGGCACCAGGCTGGAGTGCAGTGGCATGATCTCAGCTCACTGAAACCTCCGCCTCCCGGGTTCAAGCAATTCTTCTGCCTTAGCCTCCCAGGTAGCTGAGACTACAGGCACGCGCCACCATGCCCAGCTAATTTTTTTTTGTATTTTTAGTAGAGACGGGGTTTCACCACGTTGGCCAGGGTGGTCTTGATCTCTTGACCTCGTGATCCTCCCACCTCGGCCTCCCAAAGTGCTGGGATTACAGGCTTGAGCCACCGGGCCCGGCCATTACTACTCTTATTGACAATCACAGTCTCAGAGCTGGCCCCTCAGCTGCCTCTCCCTTCCAAGCTTTCTAAGAGATACCTTTTCTTATTCTCAGGGGATGACAGCATGGGAGGAAATAACTCCACACCTAAACCCAACACTGGTGAGTTTACGACAGGAATAATTATTTGCTTCACTTCTGAGCTAAAAGAACTAGAAATGGTGCTGAAGGGCTGTAATGGAAAAGCACTAGCATTTCTGGAGTCGGAAGAATCCGATTTTACCATGACGCAGAATCTAATGCCGGGAGGGGTGAAAGGGGGAACCATAAAGAACTACCTTGCCCTCCAAATCTAAGTAAAAGGTGTCTCTGCTTGATATCAAACCAGCTGGGTCCTGCTCCCCATTTGTGCTGTAGGCATTGAGAAAACCACTGTGGCTGTTTTTGGCTAGGCCCTGCCTTGCAAAACAAGCAAACAAAAAAGGGCAGCAGTTTCAAGGTCAAATTCCCCAAGACTCTGGGAAACATTGGTTCCGTTTCTCCCTAGCAGGGAGGTGCCTTCCTTAGGTCGGGAGCCTATCTCTTTAGGGATTCCTATTAACATCTTTGAGGAGGGCAACATCTGAGATTTTTTTGTTTATCAAAGGGACACTAGGCTTGTATTTCATTTATGTAGCTGGTTGATTTTTAAGTTCCAGTTCTAATTTTCATTTAAAAGTACTTGGAATCGGCCGGGCGCGGTGGCTCACGCCTGTAATCCCAGCACTTTGGGAGGCCGAGGCGGGTGGATCACGAGGTCAAGAGATCAAGACCATTCTGGTCAACATGGTGAAACCCCGTCTCTACTAAAAATACAAAAAATTAGCTGGGCATGGTGGTGCATGCCTGTAATCCCAGCTACTCAGGAGGCTGAGGCAGGAGAATTGCCTGAACCCAGGAGGCGGAGGTTGCGGTGAGCCGAGATCGCGCCATTGCACTCCAGCCTGGGTAACAAGAACGAAACTCCGTCTCAAAAAAAAAAAAAAAGTACTTGGCATCTGAAAAAATAATGTTCTCCCATTTTTATAACAGTTGCAGCCCCATCCTGAATTTCCACCGGTTGCTTGGGCAGAATGGGGCACCCGGGGACACTTAAGCTGGAAGGATATCATGAAAAGTGGCAGATACACTAATTCCTTTTGTGTTTTCTTGTAGAAAGACAAGACACTCTCCCCACAGCGGCCCCAGCAGCTAGCTCTGCACCCTGTCTCTCCAACTCCCGCAAGTAAATGAGCATTCTCCCATCTGTTTCATCTTGTACCTCATGGGATTTGTGTTGTGTTGACAGCCTCGGCTTGGAGACTTGGTCAGGGAGTCTGGGGAGAAAGGACCAGAAACTGTAAAAGAACGAAGTCAGTTTGTGATCTCAGGAGTATGGCTCTTAACTTGGCCTCCCCTAAGCTTCAGGAGACCCATGGATCCCCTCAGCTTATAGGTTAAATTTGCTGGGTGGGGAATGATGAACATTGTGTGGGTTGACGGAGCAGGAAGTGGAGAGGCCACAGCTTTCACAGGGGCCCCAAATGGATGTGAAACTCAAAAGCAAAAGCTAAAAACCACTGGGTCTATTAACCAGTAGGAAAACCTTTGCAGGAGTCCATCCACAGGCAGGAAAGGTTACACTCTGACCTTTAGGAAAGGCCTTCAAAAGTCCAACAGTTCATCCTCTCCCTTTCTTTGCCAAAACAGCAAAGAACATTTAATCCTTGCGTTTTGTGTTGGGGTTCTGTTGACGCTGCTGCTGATGGCCTTTATCTTCCTCATCATAAAGAGCTACAGAAAATGTAAGCATTCTCCAGGGGACAGGACAGCCCTTCTTTCTCTGCCACTGAGACTAGAATTAGCTATGAGTGAGTACCGGGAGGAGGTGGGGGAGGGTGCAGTGTGATAAAAACCTGCTTAGCCCACCCTGTCTGCAGACTGAGAACTCGAAACCCTTCATTTTTCTTCTACCCTGCCCTCCCCACCTGCCAACACCTCCTCCCCACCCGACCCTTCACCCAAGATTGAAGGGAGAGGCTTCCCATTTCTCCAGGCTCATTGCTAAGATGGGTCCCTCTTCTTTCCGGCACTGTGGCAGGTCACCCCAAGCCCCAAGCCCTGGATCCTCACACAGATCCTCCGGCCATGGTAAGATAATCACACTGTTTTGAGGACACTGAAGGGCTACTGTCATTGGATTTCCCCTGCACACTCTGCATTATCTGCTAGAATGGTGGTATTGATTTCCAGATACTGGGCAAGTGATTCTTTGACCAAAGTGCTCAAGTTGCTTCTAAAGAGCAACCTTTTGCCCCAAACTGAACTCACTCATTCCTCCTTTTTCTCCCACTGTAGCTGTCGTCCATCCCAGAGGACTCACCTGTCTGTGCTAACATGACCTTCAAACACTCAGAAGAAAAGAGCAATCGCTTGGCTGAGAACCATGCTGCAGACTTCGACCCCATTGTCTATGCTCAAATTAAAGTAAAGAACTAACCCGGCTTTTCCAATGAGGCTTGAATCTACTTCCTCTCCTCTCAGCTCCATCTTCACACATCACTTTCCCTTTTTCACAAATGTTGGACCAACACCTGTGTAAAACTGCAGTCGGAGTTGTTTAGGTGTGATCTGGCAATGCTGCCCTGGACAGAGAAAAGACTGATGGCCCTCCCACTTGAACAGACAGCCTGTGAGGTCCTTGGGGGCATAGACTGCCTTTCTTGTACCCTTCCAAAGTGTGTGGTACGGAGCTCAGTGAACAGATATTCACCCAGCATGGTGAATCAGCTTGGGAGGAGTCAACCAAATGAACCAGGAATTCCAAATAAAAGCAAACCCCCCATAGTGCTGCCTCCCTCTTTATTATTTATTTGTCTGTTCCTGCCACCTTCTCCAGAGGTCAAGACTAAAAGTCCATAGCTCATTCACAGCCACGAAAGGTGATGGCACTTGGAAACAAGGTCAGGTTTGATTGGGGTGAAGGTCTCAAACTCTGCTACTAACTAGCTGCATTCATTTAGGGAAGCTTGTTAAACTTTTTAAGCCTCAAGTTTTTCATCTTGAAAACAGAGATAACACTTAACACTAATATTTAGTGTGAGGATTAAATGAAATATCTTATACATAAGCATTGTGTACATCCCAGAATTCTACACAAATACAAGGTCCCTACTGTATAAAAGCACTACGTAAATGGAGATTTCCACTTCTGTCCTATAGCATAAGAGATATGGATAACAATATTATATGAAAACCAAAGACAAAGATTAATCTAAACATTAATTCCCCCAAAATCCTAATGAATAATCACATATCAAATGCCATTATAAAAGAGCTGTGACACTTGATGATATTTATTATTTTTATTTTTTATTTTTTTTGTATTTGGGCTCTGGGGTATATGTGCATGTCCTGCACCCTGCAGGATTGTTGCATACGTACATACATGCCATGGTGGTTTGCTGTCTCCATCCGCCCCCACCCCCTCATCACCTATGTCAGGCATTTCTCCCAGTGTTATCCTTCCCCATCCTCCCCCCAAGCTGTCCCTCCCCTCCCCTCCACCACTCCCAACTAGCCCTGTGAGTGCTACTCCCTTCCCTGTGTGCAACACACTTGATGATATTTATAATGGCATTTTTATAGCAGGCTTTCCAGATTTTGCCAGAAAGCTCCCCCGCAAAATAAATAGATAATAAATAAATAAATAAATCATCAGATGAGTCCCAAAGGTGAACAATGACAACAAAATATCAATAAGATTATTTTTTTGCTAGGCAAGCTTACTCTAAATTTTCTATGTAAACAATAAACAAAACAGCAAACTCAGGAAAATGTATCAAAATAAGTAAATAATAAATAAAAGTTATGTGGGAAGGCTAGCCCTTGCAGCTAACTGAAGTGCCCGTTTTATTAAGCATGACTAAGTAAAGCAATATGTTATTGGTGCATGAATAAATTAATCAATCGAATAGAATTTAAAGACCAGAAATAGACCAAACACATAAGGAAATTTAGAGCATGAGGAAGACGGCATATGAAATCATTTGGGAGAAATTGGTTTATTCAATAAATGGTATTAAGATATATGGGTAACCATGTAAATGAAAATAAAGTAGGATCCATATTTCACCTCTTACATGATAATATATTCCAGAGATGTCAAAAATGTAATTGTAAAAATCATAAAACACTAGAAGAAAATATGGGAGAATTATAAAAAATATTTTTGTAGAGCATGCCTTTGAATGTACGTCACAAAGCCCAGAAACCGGAAAAGATTAACCTGACTTCCAAAGTACCATTAAAAAGTCAAAAGACAAATGACAAGCGTAGTAAACACTTGCAAAGCATCTCATAGACAAAGAAAGATTTATTTTAAATCAATAGGGGAAAAATGAACAACGCAATAGAAAGGACAAGGGATACAGGTGGGCAACTTGCAGGAAAGAATATATAAATGACTAAAATGTATAAAAACATGTACACATTCATTATAAGGGAAATAATGATTACAACTACAATTAGATAATTTTTTCATCAATAAGACTGGCAAAATTCAAAAAGTTTGCTAACAAACTGCGTGAACAAGATTGAAGGGAACCGCTGGGCACGGTGGCTCATGCCTGTAATCCCAGCACTTTGGGAGGCCAAGGCGGGTGGATCACTAGGTCAGGAGATTGAGACCATCCTGGCCAACATGGTAAGACCCCGTCTTTATTAAAATACAAAAATTAGCTGGGTATGGTGGTGCAAACCTGTAATCCCCGCTACTTGGGAGGCTGAAGCAGGAGAATCCCTTGAACCAGGGAGTAGGCAGTTGCAGTGAGCCAAGATCGTGCCACTGCCCTCCAGCCTGGGCAACAGAGCGAGACTTTGTCTCAAAAAAAAAAAAGATTGGGGGGAACCAAGACACACATATACTACTAGTGGGACAGCACATTTGTACAGCTACCACAGAAGATGATTTGGCAATAGCCAACAACATTCTAAATTCTTTTCTAAGGATTTACAGGAAATCCTAAGGATTTATCCTGCTCAAATACATGGAAAATTGCCTACATAACTTGAATTACAGCAGTGATCAAACTGCCTAGATCTCACTGATGCTTACTACACTTTCAGCATGATTCCAAGCGTGTGGCATGTATTCATGGAATCCTCACGGAACACTGTGAAATTAACTGGGTAGGCTGGTGCTTGCCTGTAATCCCAGCTACTATGAGGTCACAATTATTACTCATTTCATACAGAAATGGAGGCACAGAGAGGTTAAGTAACTTGCCCAAGTTCACATTGCTAGTAAGTAGTGGCACCGGAACTCAACCCTAGGTAGGCTGGCTCCAGAGTTTGCATGTTTATCCATTATGCTCAATTCCCTGAAATAGTGAAAGATTGAGAAAATCTTCACTGGACATGGAAAGGGGACTGGTTAATTGGGTACAATGTAGCCATTAAAAAGAATGAGGCAGCTCTCTATGTTCTAATTTAAAAAGATATTTATGATACGTTGCAAGCTGTCGAACAGCATTCTGAATATGCTCTACTCACATGTAGTAAAGTATATGTGTATCTATATATCTAGTATATCTCCAGGAGAAAACGCAATTAACAGGTCTTAGTGACAGCCTCTGGGGAGGGGAAATTGTTACTTGTGATACTGAAGATCCCTAAGTAGACAGACATAAATGAGAGGACTCAGCAGACAGAAACCAAAATATCATCTTTATTATGAATATGGTCACCCTCGGAGAACAGAGCTTACACGACAGCTGCAAAGAAGTTCACAATCCTGAACTCCAGAACTGAGTTATAAGCAAGCCCCGCCCCTTCCCACACGCGATGCGGTCGTTCAGCCTGCCCATAAGGGATTGCAGAAGAGATTATGTTCTCTCTCAAAGTTGCACCCAAAAGAGCAAAAAAGGAAGGGGAAGAGAGAAAGTATGTATGCCCAGTTCCTATTCCCAGTCTCCAATGTCAGACAGTCCCCTCTACCTCCCACGGGGAGTCACTGAGGAGTGTTGCCTTAATGGAGCTCAGTCTACACCAAATTGGCTAGAACTTCCTGAGGCTTATTACACTTTCAGCGATTTAACCTCTGTGTGCCTCCATTTCTGTATCTAAAATGAGTGATAGTTGTAACCTCATAGTGTTCTGTGAGGGTTCGATGAATACCGAAGGAAGCAGGAGCGGGAGAGAAGCAACCACCACAGATCTTTCAAAAATACATGAAATAGTATTTTGGGGTCTGGGTGTGATGGCTCTTGCCTGTAATTCCAGTACTTTGGGAGGCCAAGGCAGGAAGATTGCTTGAGCCCCAAATTTGAGACCTGTCTGGGCAACATAGGAAGACCCCATCTCTACAGAAAATAAAATTATTAGCCAGGCGTGGTGGTGCATGCCTGTGGTCCCAGCTACTTGGGAAGGAAAGGTGGAAAGATCGCTTGAGCCCAGGAGGTTGAGGCTGCAGTGAGCCAAGATGACACCACGGTACTCCAGCGTGGGTGGCAGTCAGACTCTGTCTTAATATAATAACAACAATTTGCAAAATCAAGTTAAGAAAATTGAAGTCCAAGGAGATAAAATAGTTTACTCAATGACATCTGGCTAAAAAAAATAAAAATAAAAAGGCAGAACAAAAATTTAAATCAAGTCCTCTGACTTCAAATTCCTTGCATCTGGCCTCCATACCAAGCCACCCCATAGCACTTATTTATGAAGGCAAAAAGATGAGAAAGGCAAAGAGTCAGGTGACATGATCCAGAGAGCATGTTCTTTGTGAGAGAGAGCAGCTGCTCCTGGAGGCTGGATTTTGAGGGAGAGGCTGGTGGAAGAGAGTATGATTTAAAAAAAAAAAAAAAAAAAAAAAAAAAGCATAGTCTCCCTGTGGGAGTGAACAGGTCTAGGAGAAAGACAGGTTTAAGGGAGCTAGTTCAGTGAAGCGGCCACAGCAACACTAGGGCGGCTAGCCCCACGAGGGCAGCAGAGACCCAGGAATGGCCTTCTGTTTGCTCACTGTAGGAAGCACACACAGGGAAGCATCTGGAGCTTTCAGCTCTTCCCGAACTCGAGGCTGACGTCAAACAATTCTGCCAACCCTGAAGCTAGAGGCCCTGTCAGCCTTCCAGTTCAGGGTCGGCACCTTATAAACATAGATGCAAGAGTACACTAAGCATTATCGCATGGCTATCCACTCGTACAGGAAAAATCAAATTAATTGCTCTTCCCTGTTTTCTTGAAGCCGCCCACCTCCATTTGTTTTTAACAGTACAGCCCTATACTGAGTCTTGTTTTTTGTCTTCACATCATGCGACCAGCCTTGCTGGAGGATAAAAGATTGATCCCAGATTCAAAGATCTTTGCTAGGTAAGAGCAGAACAAAGGCTTTTGAATCCTAGATCATGGAATCAGAACAGACCTATAGGGAAATAGCTCTCCGGACATCATGAGTGTAAATCTTCCAAGACATCTGTAGATGTCTTCATCAGCTGCAGAAGATCCACATCTGCTATCTCACCTTGTAGAATGGGATGTCCTAACTGAACCCAAACTGAATTGCTATTTGCAGAAATGGTGTGTTGATGACCCTGTTTGTTTAAATTCAGTACAGGGCCACAGTGGAGGGATTGGGGCTGTTTTGCGGCTGAGGAAAAAGAGAGCACTTCTGATGTTTGATCTGAGTCTCTGGCAGGGAGGCGGGTTGTACAGAAACACAGAGGTGTGGTGTCCGCACCCTCATCCCTTCCCATCAGGCTGTTGAGTAGCTTTGAATTCCCTACCTTTGGAGAGGGGAGTTAGGGTGGAAGATGAAGGAAGTGTGTTCATGAAAGACTTTGTGGGAGTCTGGGTGTAAACACACAGGGCATGTGCAGAATCATATCAACAACCTCCCTGTTCCAACTCTGCTCAGACTAGAAAGCCACTCGAGTATCCTGAGGACTGAAGCGGGCCAGTACGCCCATTAGAAGAGATCATGGCATGGTGAAAAGCAGGGTTGTGATGTGGGCAGCACAGACAGTGATGGGGAGGCCCTGGGAACTCCCAGAAATAGCAAAAGAGACCCTATATGGGGAGAGAGGGTGTAGATAGGCAGGTGGGAGCTAAGAGTGTTGGTAATTCTGGCATGAATGACAATATGACCTCACTTGCACCTATGGCTGCCAATGCCTTATTCTTGATTTGTGTTTCTCGATTTGAATGAGTATTTCACTTATCACACCTTGGTTTCTCACTGATCAAAAGCAGCATCCCCTTAGTCAGGTGGCAGTTTCCCAAAATGGATGAGAGGAATGGCCTTTTCACCAGGAGAATGTGAGAACTCCTGATTTAGTGTATCTCCCTTTCTTTGGATTGGACAGCATTTGATACCAATTCAGAAATGAGTTAGAATGTTATTCTTTGAAAGAAACTTTTCCAGAAATACTTTTCCAGCGATACCCTAGAAGAAGTTACTAGTATCTCAAGAGTTCATTCAACACCAGACAGGAATTTATTGGCTAATAAAAATAAGTGATTTCCTGGCCCCCGATGCAAATTCTTCACCTCTTCTTCCCTTCTGACTGATGGAATGCATGAGAACTTAGACCTGGGGATGTTATTTGAGTGCAGCCTTGCTTGCATACGGTCTGTCACAGCTCCTCTGACTCCCATTGCTGTTACCAGGCTGCAAATGACTGCTGGCAAGGATAGAGGGTCCTTCAGAATTCCCAGGAGATCAGAATCAGTCTGTGAGGTGTGGGGCAGTTGTCATGGGGGCTGTTCTGTTGTAGCATCACTTTATAAACTAAATAAAAGAAATCTTCAGTCACATCTGTTCAGTAGGAGCCACGTTCTTTGGAGTCAGGATACGTGAGAAGGGCTTCAAATAGTTGCCTACTTTGGTGGGGAATAGAAAGAGAAATTGAGTTGAGAACTATTGCCTACCTCTGAGGAGTGTCTCTGCAGCGAAAGTTGCAAACTCTATCATGGGGGTTTCATGGGGACTGAACACAAGTTTATTTTCAGGGCTGAGATCAGATATCATTACTGCAAAGCTCATCGGTAGGAAAGTCAACAGCAAAGCTTGGTACATGGGGCTCGCATTCGCCTCTCACCGAGTTTTGGCAATGTGAACACAACTGAGCTTCAGAATCAGAATGTCAAAGCTACGAGCCTTCGTTCAGGCTGCCACGTTTCAGCTGCCTGAGTCTGAGGAGGCAGGCCCTGGCTACAACAGGCTGTACAACTTCTTGCTAAAAAGGAAGAGGGTTGGGTTCTACTGCCTCGCCTTTCACAGTATCATGCGCCTCCCCTTTAGAGCACCAACTCCAGCTGGCAATGTTGCATTTGGGTGTTGATGTGTGATCGCTTGTCTTCCCCTCTACAAGTTCCGCGAACGCAGACGCCGTCTCTTTTGCCCGTCTTTATATCCCCAGCATCTAGCTAGCATGGTCCTTTTCTCTTGAACTAATGAATAAAAATATTGGAGGGTATGCAAATGAGACCCTCAACTTATAAAGAAGAAAATAGGCCCAGAAAAGAATAAAGTAGACAATGGTTTTAGCAAAAACCTAGACTACAATCGTGTCCCAGAGGGAATGGGCTTGGGCAGACCTGAAAAAGGTGTTGCCCACATGCCCCAGCTTTGTAGTTCAAGGCTGCTGGAGGACAAAGGTCAACAATGCTGCAGAAGCCACTACTTTTTTTAGGGCTCCTGTTCTGACCACAGGAACAAAATATCACAGGGAAAGGATGAGGCCTTGCAGCCTTTGCTGGGCATTTCAGATTCTTCTGGCTACGGATCCCGGTGTGTCACTAGCAAGGGTTACTAGGAGTTTTTTCTCTTTCTCTGAAATGTTCTTCTGCATTTCCATACCCACAGGAGGTTGCAGTCTGTTTTCTAATTAGGCCTACAGTCTCTTCATCGCCTAAGGTGTTCCTGTGGTTTCTGAGCATGAAAAGAAAAATGAGGAGCTACCATTGGCCCAACAGTGGCAACTGTGTGATGTTCTTTCGCCTCTGGGTACACTTCAGAGGTTGGCAGATTCGCCATATGTTGGCTTGGAGGATTCTCAAAACAGTTTAAGACCAGCCTTGGTGTCTCTGGTGCTGTCCCAAAGGGAAAGGTGGGCACTCAGTCCCTTCTCTATTTAGGAATGGGGAAACCTAAAGATCAGGCTGAGGCAGGAGAATCGCTTGAACCTGGGAGGCGGAGGTTGCAGTGAGCCGAGATGGAGCCACTGCACTCCAGACTGACAACAGAGCAAGACTCTGTTTAAAAAAAAAAAAAATTTAACTGGCCAGGCATGGTGGCAGATGCCTGTGGGCCCAGCTACTTAGAGGCTGAGGTGGGAGGATGGCTTGAGGCCAGGAGTATGAGGCTGCAGTGACCTATGATCACACTTCTGCACTCCAGCCTGGGCAACGGAGCAACACTCTGTGTATATGAAAAAGGAGACTTTTCTACACCTGCTTACCCAGGGGTCCCAGAAGCTCCTTCCTTTGACAGGAGCCCAGAGTTTGTGAGCTGAGGAGGTAGGTGGCTCTGCAGATGTGGAACCTGTGCTGTGGTCTCAGGGCCTCCCTCCTTCCTGGTCTACACATGTATCCACTTAAGAAAGCTCCGGTGGGCCGGTTATGGTGGCTCACACCTGTAATCCCAGCACTTTAGGGGGCTGAGGCAGGTGGATCCCCTGAGGTCCGGAGTTTGAAACCAGCCTGGCCAACACGGTGAAACCCCGTCTCTACTAAAAATGCAAAAAATTAGCCGGGTGTGGTGGTGCATGCCTGTAATCCCAGCTACTCGGGAGGCAGAAGTAGGAGAATTGCTTGGACCTGGGAGATAGAAGTTGCAGTGAGCTGAGGTTGCTGCCCTCCAGACTGGACAGCAAGAGTGAAACTCTGTCTCAAAAAAAAAAAAAAAAAGAAAGAAAGAAAGGTCTACTGCTCCCTCTGTTACTTCTCATGATGCCTTGTCACCATCAAGTAGATGTCTACCCTGGCCCATGGCTGGCTGGATTGTTCCCAGGTGACCAGGCAATACAAAGAGGCTCATGTTCACTCATTTGAAAGACGATCCTTGACCTCTTTCATTTTTTCTAATTCTTGCCCACCCCGCCCCCGACAGTAGCTACTTACTCCTTCTATTCCTTTGACTTCTCCTCCTTTTGGTCAAATGACTGATTATAGAGATGATTCCCAAGCCCGTGATCAGTATGCAAATGATGAGAATGGACGTCCTGGAAGGAACCACAGCAGACTTTATGTTCCTTGGAAGAAACTACCTATTGGTTCTCAGCTCTGGATCCCTTTCTCTGGGATGTGTACACCTGCCCGCCCCGCATCCAGTTACAGTAGCACCTGGCAGCTGTATTCCTTCAGAGTGACCCCGTCCTTTGAACCACACTCGATGGGACCTGCTGAGCATCTGACTAAGCTGGGTCAATGAACCCTTTCCTCAGAAATTAACTGTGGATTGGGTCTAGGAGAATCCAGTCTCAGACTGGCCAGCCTCTTGAATGGGGGAGAAATAAACTCAGGAACTATAAATGGCTGACTGTTGGGGGAAAAAACAGAAATATGCCAGGTCAGAACAGAGAGAGAAGGAAGCAAACATGCAGTTTCAAGATTAGAGATGGAGGTAAAGTCCTGATGACGCTCCCGATGATTTTCAAGGGTGGCCGACATTGCAAACGCCGTTCTCTCCCTATGATAAATGTCCCCTTTCAATTAAAATAGCTAGAGGGTATTTTTTTCAGCTTTCAACCAAGAGTCTTAAACTATATATATATATATTTTTTTTTTAAAGAAAGCAAATACTCACATTAAGGATACATAGTTCAAATGGAGAAATAATGTGCAGCAGAAAAGCTGTCGGTGCAAATCAACTGTCATATTATACAATTGTCCCCCGGCCCCTACCTCCACCCCACTGCCCCACGCCCATTCGTCCCCTGAGACTATGGCTCACCTGGAGTAGTCAGCCTTGCGGACAACTCTGGGAGTCTTGCAGCTTCTGGTTTTGTTGCCTGGTAGGTCTGAATCAGAAGGATTGTTAAGTCTGGTGAGGCCCATAGCCAGGCCCTGCCTCTGCCTCTCAGCTGCAGCTCTGCCTATCATTCTCTCAATCTCCAGAGAGTGGGTCCCCTGGTTGACTTCAGAGTAAAACAGAGGCACCAAGTACAGTTGTATAAATGTGCCCTGCACAAGGAGCAAGGCTGAGGGGACAAACAAGGGCAGACATTTAGCCCGCACTCTGTTAAGCCATGCACCCTGCCTCCATGCACCTGAAGGAAGCAGCCCCTTTTCCAGATTTGGACAAAGGCCCCACATTGACTAGAAGTGGCCCAGAGTCCCACACTGTGGTCTTTTCCCCATAGGAGGGGATGGACCCTAGAAGCACCAGAGGGCCAATCCTATTTTTAAAGAACTACTCGTTGGTGATATAATTGCCGTATTTTTCTTATGACGAAAACCCAATGGGAGCAATGGCGCCACGACCACCTACAATGCCTCCTCCGATAAGACTTGGGAAGGATCTGTGCTTCATCTAAACTGAGGAGTATGTTCAGGTGGGACTTCTCTTGTCTGAGCCTCAGATTCGGGTCAAGCTGCACAGTTGACTAAAAGCAGAACCACATGAAGTAGAAACACTGTGGGCGTGAACGATGTCACATTCAGTAAGATCCTGGCAGAATCAATCACCAGCTGGCAAAGTGTGAGCAAAACTCTCTTTCCAGCATGGCGACAGGTTTCCCAAGGCACCCCTTAAGCCCTTCTGGTTTGTTTTCCTACCAGCATTGTGCTTTGGACTGTGATAGAAAAGGACATCCTTTCTAGAAATGGAAACAAGGAGAAGACACAGGAAAATAAAAAAAAGAAAGAGGCCAGGCGCGGTAATCCCAGCACTTTGGGAGGCCGAGGCGGGTGGATCACAAGGTCAACAGATCGAGACCATCCTGGTCAACATGGTGAAACCCCGTCTCTACTGAAAATACAAAAAATTAGCTGGGCATGGTGGTGTGTGCCTGTGATCCCAGCTACTCAGGAGGCTGAGGCAGGAGAATTGTCTGAACCCAGGAGGCAGAGGTTGCGGTGAGCCAAGATCGCGCCATTGCACTCCAGCCTGGGTAACAAGAGCGAAACTCCGTCTCAAAAAAAAAAAAGAAAGAAAGGCTAGTGCCTTCCATAAGTCCTCTGTCTGAGAAACAGAGATTTTTCTGTTGCAAAAGGAGGTTTTCATCATTTAGCAGAAAGAACTTAGGGGAACATCTGGAAATCCTGTGTCTTAGCTCCAGCCAAAAGTCCCAATTGCTCAACTCAGACTTCTCCGCTATGGACTCCAGTTCCACCCACACCTTCCCCATGTCTCCGAATAAAAACTGCACATTCCTTAAAAGCAAAAGAGGGTGCTTACTAGTTGGGCCACAGCATTTATCTCAGTACATTTTCATTATTATTTTTTGAGATGACTCTGTCACCCAGGCTGAAGTGCAGCGGTGCAATCACAGCTCTTTGCAGCCTCAACCTCCCTGGGCTCAGATGATTCTGCCTACTCAGCCTCCCAACTAGCTGGGACCACAAGTGGGCACCACCACACCCAGCTAATTTTTGTAATTTTTGTAGAGATGAGCTTTCTCCACTTTGCCCAGGCTGGTCTCAAACTCCTGGGCTCTAGCAATCCAATCGCCTCAGCCTCCCAAAGTGCTGGGATTACAGGAGTGAGCCACCGTTACCTGGCTACCTCTGTATATTATCAAATTATTTAAGGTGACAGTTACCAGGCACCTGGGTCATTTTTTGCAAACTTAGACACCTCTCAAGAAACTAATCTTCAAAATTCTAGACCCACAGGCACACAGACATTTAATAACAACTTCAAAGCCTTTCAAAACAAAGATGTCACATCTACTAGACCCTGTCAGCCTTTTCCAAGGTCCTTAGACCAGATTGCTGCAAGGGAAGAGAGGTTCTAAATACACCCCAGGGCACAGACATTCTCCTTGTCCCCAATTTCCAGCTATTCCCCAGCTCTGTCAATGACCACCCCATGATTGCTAGAGGAAGAGAGAGGCCACGTAGCCCCAAAGAACACAGTGGGAGTCCGAGTTGGGGCTCACCAGCTTCAGTGAATTCTCTCTCAGCAGCATACACCTGTGGCCATGGGTCACCTCCAGTCAGACCCTGGCAGGCTCCTTACCTTTCCCAGACCAAAAGTCACTGACCAGGGTTTCTTTCTTGTCAGTTACAATCAGCTCTGTAAAATCCATGTAATCCCTGGCAAAGTCCCGCTGGATGCCACACCAGTACCAGCCTGCGTCCTCCTTAGCCAGGCAGGACATAGTGACAATGAGCTGGTTCCCTGTGTCCCTCAGGGCCACATGATTGGTGCTGTTGGGAGAGAAGGCGATGATGTTGCAGTAGTCACGGAAGTAGCCTCGGCACCAGTATTTGCGGTGGTCCTTGTAGCGGGCATTGTAGTTGCAGATGGCAGAAGCTGTGTCCAGCACAAAGCTTTCCTTGACCTTTTCATCCATGACCATGGCATCTGTGAAAACACACACGCGCACCTGCACACACGCCATTGTTCTCTCAAAACATTGCAGCTCCTGCCCTCCTGAAGGATAATTAAAGAATCGGAGACTGATTTTTGCTTCTTTTTGATTGGCAACTGTTATGGGCTGAACTATGTTGCCTTCAAAACTTATATGTTTCAGTCCTAACCTCCCATGCCCCCAGAGTGTTTGGATATAAGGCCTTTAAAGAGATAATTAATTAACATAGGGTCACTGGGGTAGTCCTTAATTCAATTTAAATGGTGTCCTTATATAAAGAAGAGATTAGGACTCTGACAGTACAGACAGAGGAATGGCCCGTGAGGACATAGCCGGAAGGTAGTCATCTGCAGACCAAGGGAAGGCCTCAGAATGAAACCAAACTCGCCAAACACCTTGATCTTGAACTCATCTTCTGCTGACTGCACAGGGCTGAAAACAGAGGAAGTCGTATTCTGTCTTTAGGGGATAAGAACTTCATGTTCCCTCCCGCAAGATCAGCATAGGCACCTCTATCATCTCAGATATTGCACAATGAGAAAGTCACGCACACCAGGTCCAGCTGGACTGTGGCAGGGAAAATGTCTGACCAAGGAGAGGAGATGGTACAGCACAGCCTATCCTTCCTTCAGCCTTCCAGCTGTGTAGCAGAGACCACTCAAATGTAGGCTCATGTTCTTTATAACATTGAGTTTTTATAACAACCCCACAAGGAAGACAGCATGATCTTCAGTTTAGAAGTATGAATGCTGACCCAGAGAAAAATTCAGCAAGTCTAAACACTGCACAACTGAAGGTCGACAGAGCTCGGAAAAGGCCAGTCTTCCCAGTCTCATCTGTGGAGTCAAGCATGAGCGGGAAAAGGAAAGTTGTATCCTCATATATCTGCACATATATTTTTGAGGGGAGAAGGGGGAAGGGGAACTTGGATGAGCTAAAAGAGAAAATACAGAGCTCCTATTTTATTTTATATTATTTTGGTAGAGATGCTGGGGAAAATATGGAATGCATAATGAATTTGCATGTCGTCCTTGCACAAGGGCCATGCTAATCTACCTGTATCATTCTAATTTTAGTATGTGTGCCTCCAAAGTGCGTGCAGAGAGCCATCATGTTAGCCAAGCTTTCCAATTTCCTCGCAAAGTCTCTTATCTGAGCTAAGAACAAGAGCCAACATGGACAAGAGCTATTTTTGTCTCCTTTTATTTTCTCATCCCATTCCTCAGACGGTTCAAACTAATAAGCAGGGACTCCAAGTAGGAGAGGATTTCAGTGCAAAATCTCTGGGAAGGCCACAGCTTAAAGGGCTGGAACTGTTCCTTCCCCCATCTTACCTGAAAAGAGAGTCAACGGGAGTAGAATGACGAGCCACATGACGAGAAGGACGCAAGCCATCAACTGGATTAATAGAATGTACCCAGGGAGCACAGGAATCCCAAATCTGTTTAAGGGAAACAGATAGGCTTGAGCTTAATATGGCTTTATCCTGGTTTAACGAGACCAGTGAAAAGGGAAAACAACCAGTTAATCCAAGCAGTGCTGCCATGTATAGGTACACTGCACAAGGGTACCACACAGATGCTCTTCATAGACTTAAACTTATTGACCGGGCAACTAAGAAAATTCTGGGCAGTAGAGCTGTCCCTCCTGGATAAATGGGCTCTGGCCCACACTCAGAAAAGCACATGCTCACAACCATCACTGGCACCCATTTGTATGTGCTCCACTGTAACCTGTTCTGCTGCCTCATCAGAGGCCACTCATTTTGTCTGTTCACCACTCTTGGAGGCCCAATTTCTTATACAGTTGAGAGGACTCCTAGTAATCAGATTCTCAACTAACCCAGCTCCCAGGTGGATACTGCAGGCTCATATGGGGAGCACGGCCAGGGGTGGAGCACGCCAGCTGTCAGTAGCCTGCGTGCCTGGGACCTGAAACATGCGAGCAAGCAGAAGTGTGGGTGTTTGGATGACCACAGTTTGGGCTGCAGTCTTCAGACTTCCTGAAAGCTTTCCTGAGAAGAGTTGGAACAAATCAGGGAGCTCCATCTATGCAGCTGCAGCAGCTTCTCCTGATTCTAATGGGACTCATGTGCTCTGACCACTGGCTTTCAAAGTCTGAATTATTGAACCACCTCTCAGGTAAAGTTAAGCAGGGTGCTACTTATCACGCCCCAGAGTCAGCACGTCCCTCTGAGGGTCATACATGGATTGTCCAGTCGTGCAATAATGTCCTCTCTGGAGAAAGGGGAGCCTGTCTCTAATTCATGTGTAGTCAGCATGTGGGCCACCAGCAAGCCTGTATCATGGTAGGTTTTTATCTACATCACCTCAGGTGCTCCTCATCAAAAACATCTATGAGTTCCACAATTAAATTACATGAATAAACAAGGAAGGAAGGAAAGGAGAATATGTGGATCCAAAGGGACTTAAGAGACATATTGACAAATTATAATATATGGAACTTATTTGGATCACGATTGAAGCAAACAATTCAGAATATATGGCCAGTGATACGATTAGGATATAATTCTTTGATTTATTTTTTGAGATGTGATAATGGCATTGTCGTAGCCAGCCTTCACAGTGGCTCCTGGAATTCATGCTGTTATGTAGTCCCCTCCCACACTGAATCAGGACTGGCCTGTGTGATCAATACATTATGGCAGAAGTGATGGCATGTGATTTCAGAGGATGGGTCATCAAAGGTGTGCAGCTTCCACCCTAGGCTCTCATGCTGCTCCTCTAGGGAAAATCAGCCACGATGCTGCGAGGACTCTTGAGCAGGCTGTAGAGGGGCCCATATGGAAAAAACAGTTCACTAGACATGTGAGAGTCACTTCAGGAGTGGATGCTCCAGCCACAGTCAAGCCTGCAGATGACTGCAGACCTAGTACCCTCATGAGAGACCATGCATTAACCACTCAACCAAAATGCCCCCTGAATTCCTGACCCATAGAAACCATAAGAGATGATGAAGTATTGCTGTTTCAAGCCTCTAAGTTTTGGGTGTAATTTGTTGCACAGCAATGGATAATTACTGCAAATATTGTGGTTATATTTTTAAAAAGCAGTCCTTATCTCTAACAATACTGCATGCAAAACACACACACTCAGCATTGCTCAGAGATGGCAACATGAAGCCAAAGCAACCAGCAAAAGAGAAATGTATTGTGCCCAGATACCAGCAAAATGCCCAAGACACAAAAAAGTAACTGCAAAGGGAGTGAGAGTGCAAGAGTCACAGAGAATGAATGATGTGTCTACTAACATTTTGAATATTGCTTGATGTAGTAATTCCATAGAATTAACTTTCGGCCAGGTGCAGTGGCTCACACCTGTACTCCCAGCACTTTGGGAGGCTGAGGTGGGTGGATCATGAGGTCAAGAGATCCAGACCATCCTGGTCAACATGGTGAAACCCCGTCTCTACTAAAAATACAAAAAATTAGCTGGGCATGGTGGCACATGCCTGTAATCCCAGCTATTCAGGAGGCTGAGGCAGGAGAATTGCCTGAACCCAGGAGGCAGAGGTTGCGTGAGCCGAGATCGTGCCATTGCACTCCAGCCTGGGTAACAAGAGTGAAACTCCACCTCAAAAAAAAAAAAAAAAAGAAAAAAGAATTAACTTTCATTCTATTTAGATGTATAAATATGAAGGTAAATAGGCAATAAGAATAAACCAAATAAGTTTTAAAAGATCTTTTAGAATGCCAAATGAAATGTTTATAGATAAAACAACTTGATACCTGAAATTTCAGGATAATCAGGGCAGGGCAAGTGGATACAGGCACAAATGAAACAAGATTGGCTGTAAGTTGATAATTACTAAGCAGGATAATAGACAAATAAGGGGTCCTTCTTTTAGTCTGCTATAGTTTGCATATTTGACCCTCCAAACCTCATGTTGAGATTTGATCCTCTATGTTGGAGGTGGGGTCTAGTGGGAAGTGTTTGAATCATAGGGGTGGATCCCTCGTCAATGTCTTGGTGCCATCATTGTCATCATGGTAATGAGTGAGTTCTCAATCTATTAGTTCCCATGAGAGCTGATTGTTTCAAAGAGCCTGGCACCTCCCCCAGCCTGCTTCCTTGCTTTCACCATGTCATCTGTGCATTCTGGCTCCTTTTTGCCTTCCACCATGAATGGAAGCAGCATGAGGCCCACACCAGAAGCCAAACAGATGCCTGTGGAACTGTGCACCGAACAAACCTCTTTTCTTCATTAATTACCCAGCCTCAGGTATTCTCTTATAGCAACACACACAAACTAAGACATAGTCACTCCACTTTTGTGTGTTTGAAATTTTCCATAAGAAAAAGTAAAAATCAAAACACAAAAACAACTTTGACACAGATATTATTAATCCGATCTTACAAATGAAGACAATTGAGGCTCAGAAGTTTAAGTAGCTTGCCCACATTCACACAGCTAGTAGAGCCACTATGATTTTATGGTAAATCTGGGAGAAAACAAACAAAAACTATTTTCGTCACACTGTGCTGCTTTCACAGTAGTTGTAATACTGTAAAATTATTTTAGAGCATGTTAGAATTTACAAAGGGTCTTTACAGAAATTCTGTCATCTGAGTAGTTGGGAAAACATGCAGCCCAAATGTTCTTATTCCCATTATACCCAGCTATAGTAGCTAAGAGCAGAGTTTCTCTAGAAAATGTGCATTTGGTTATAAGAAACTGAATACACAAGTGGACCATTAGGAGGCCAGACCATATATGAAAATAGAATTCTGACCTACAACCTGCAGCAGCCTGCTCAGAAAACCAACAGCTAATCAGTAAATAGTAAGCCAGTCTGCTGTCAGTCAGACTGGTAGGAAGTCAGATTGCTTTCTTAAGCCAGAAAGCCAAACAATAGCCCCTTTAACAATCAACCCAAAATAGCCAGGCCTTAAAGCAGTCAGGCAAGAGACATAAATAAAGGGCATCTAAATAGGAAAAGAAGAAGTCAAACTATCCACGCTTGTGGACCACATGATTCTGTATCAAGAAAACCCCATAGTCTCAGCCCCAAATCTCTTTCAGCTATTAAACATCTTCAGCAAAGTTTCAGAATACAAAATCAATGTACAAAAATCACTAGCATTCCTGTACACCAACAACAGCCAGGCTAAGAGCCAAATCAGGAATGCAATCTCATTCACAATTGCCACAAAAGAATAAAATGCCTAGGAACACAGCTTATCAGGGAGGTGAAAGATTTCTATCTTTTTTTTTTTGAGATGGAGTTTCGCTCTTATTACCCAGGCTGCAGTGCAATGGTGCAATCTCGGCTCTTTGCAACCTCCTCCTCCTGGTTCAAGCAATTCTCCTGCCTCAGCCTCCTGAGTAGCTGGGACTACAGGTGTGCGCCACCATGCCCAGCTAATTTTGTATTTTTAGTAGAGACAGGGTTTCACCATGTTGACCAGGATGGTCTCGATCTCTTGACCTCGCGATTCACCTGCCTCGGCTTCCCAAAATGCTGGGATTATAGGCATGAGCCACCGCACCCGGCTGCAAGATCTCTATCATGAAAATTACAAAACACAGGAAAACATTCCATGCTCATAGATAGGAAGAATCAATAACATTAACATGGCCATATTGCCCAAAGCAATGTACAGATTCAGTGTGATTCTTATCAAACTACCAATGACACTCTTCACAGAACTAGAAAATATTATTTAAAAAATAATATGGAATTTTTTAAAAAGCCCAAATAACTAAGGCAATCCTAAGCAAAAAGAACCAAGCTAGAGGATATCACATCAATTTCAAACTATACTACAGGACTACAGTAAGCAAAACAGCATGGTACTAGTACAAAAACAGACACTGGAATAGAATGGAGAACCCGGCTGGGCACGGTGGCTCAAGCCTGTAATCCCAGCACTTTGGGAGGCCGAGGCGGGTGGATCACGAGGTCAAGAGATCAAGACCATCTTGGTCAACATGGTGAAACCCCGTCTCTACTAAAAATAAAAAAAATCAGCTGGGCATGGTGGCACGTGCCTATAATCCCAGCTACTCAGGAGGCTGAGGCAGAAGAATTGCCTGAACCCAGAAGGCAGAGGTTGCGGTGAGCCGAGATTGTGCCAATACTCTCCAGCCTGGGTAACAAGAGCGAAACTCCGTCTCAAAAAAAGAAGAAGAAGAAAAAAAAAAGAATGGAGAACCCAAAAATAAAGCTACATATCTACAACCATCTGATCCTTGACAAAACTGGCAAAACAAGCAGTGGGGAAAAGACTTTCTATTCAATAGATGGTGCTGGGATAACTGGCTAGCCATATGCAGAATATTGAAACTGGACCCCTTCCTGACACCATATGCAAAAATCAACTCAAACGGATTAAAAATTTAAATGTAAAATCCAAAACTATAAGAACCCTGGAAGGCAAACTAGCCAATACCATTCTGGACATAGGAACTGGCAAAGAT